CACACCCCCTACTGAGGATGTGCCCACAACCAAGGTTTATGCCCTTGACCAGAATCGAACCTGGGACCCTTGAGTCCGCAGGCAGACATTCTATCCATTGAGCCAAACCGGTTAGGGCCCACATTAGCTTTTAATTCTTCTTGAATAATGTTTCAAGCTTTATAGCTAACATTTAATGACTATTTACTATGTGCCAGGCATTGACCTAACACTTTACTGGATACTCATATTTAATCCTCACTATAATCTTATAAAGTGGGTAGTATTTTTACACATTGTATATATGAGGAAGCTGAGGCCAAGAGATTAAGAAATTTGCCCAAGGTTATATAGTAGTAGATAATTTAAGATAGTATGGTGTCAGAACCTAAGCTCTAACCACTAGTATGCACTATTTTCCATCCCTTCTTATGCACAACTTTTCAAATGTTCAACGCTATCACGTTCCCCCTCAAGTCTACTTGTCCCCGGATTCAGTTTCTGGTCTTCAGACCCATCATCTTCCTGCTCACTCTCATAAGGACAAGATGTGGTACGCCTAGGCTCCTTCAGAATAAACAGAATCCACAGTAAACACAATCCTTCCAATCAAGTCAGAGTAAGAAGATACTGTCACCTCCCCTATTTTGGACATTATAATTCTATTAAATGCAGCTTATAATGGCTAGGAAATCAGAATAAAGACTCCAGGGACACATTTACCATAGGTACCAACTTAAATGATGTCGCTTAAGTGTAAAATCCTAGAAAACCAAAGACATCAATTTGGAGAAAAGAAAACCAAAGTAGGGTTGACAATCTTGTAGCCTGAACAATTTGTTAAGGGAAGAAGGCACAATTACAGAAACATGGCATTGAATACAGGAGCTAGGTCTGAAAGGTACAGGGCAGCCTTCAAGAACAAAGTGATTAAAAGACTGATGGTGATGCCTGCTCGTTTACCTAAACTCATGGGGAGCAATGCTTTCATATATATAGGCCATTTGATTGTTCCTTCGGTGACTTCAGTCGTAAGATCATCTTCAGTTCTTTAATACAGAACTAAAGTTCATAAGGCCTTTTATAGGATGTATTAAAGCTGTACACCTTCCAGCCCTGGCCAGTGTGGCTTAGTTGGTTGGGGCATTTTCCTATACACTGAAATGTAGTGGGTTTGATTCCTGGTCAGGGCATATACCTAGGTTGAGTTCGGTTCCTGGTTGGGGCATGAGGGAGGCAACTGATCAATCAATGTTCTCTTTCACACAGATGTCTCTCTCAAAATCCCAATTTTTTAAAAAGCTATTACACCTTCTCTTATTAACAAATACTTTAGTGGTCATACTATTTTAAAAGCTGTAATATAGACCTGGCCCTTAGCACACAAATTATTATTTCTTTTTAGGGGTATCACTTGCTTTTAATCCATATTTGAAATCACAAGTGCAATGATAACTTTACGAGTACTATGTCCTCTAGAAAGAAACCAGGTGACAAATGTAAGATTACTTGGCCAAATAAAACATTGCCATAACTTCTGAATAGTTCTTAATAATAGTCTTATTACTTTATCTGCAAAGTGAGCTATCCAATATCACTAAAATTTTAGGACTTTTGATCTCATTACTGTAATTTTTTCAAATGTTTGGCCTTGATGATGCCAATAATTTTTTTTGTTGTTAAGTCATTTGAGAATACAGGGATTTTGTGACTGGAGTGACCATTTTTTATTTTTTAAAATATATTTTTATTCATTTCAGAGGAAGAGAGAGATAGAAACATCAATGATGAGAGACTCAATGATGGCTGCCTTCTGAACACTCCACACTATGGATCCAGCCCGCAATATCAGCATGTGGCCTGACCCCTGGTTCATAGGATGACACTCAACCACAGAGCCATGCCAGCCAGCCTGGAGTGACCATTATTAATTATTCTATCACTCAAAGTGGTTCTACTACCAGAGTAGGTAGGTGTTCAGAGAGATGCAGCAGGGAGCCCGGAGTCACTGTCATATTTTTCATTTGTACTTACTGTGCAATATAAGCAGCACTAGTGACTCCTGTTCTGTCCTTTAGGAGTGCTACATAAATGGAAATCTTAGATGAGGCAGAATTTAGATGGGCTTGGAGAGTGGAACATTTCTGTGTGTTTGCTGTTCTTCTTTTGTCTATTTACTAGCTCCTCTTCTAAAATTAAGATAAAATACTGAATTCACCTTGTACATCACCTGTACTCACCAGGATAGCCTTCGAGTCCATAAGCTCGCCAACTGCTGACTGGCTGAAGTCCTGCTCTATGTGCATCGTGGTCACTGACTGAGGACACACTCAGCTGAGTTCTGACCACCTGGCAAAAAGGAAACAAGTCAGAGGGCTAAAGTTATTTTACAGATCAAACCTGAGAACTTCAAAGCTCTAAAGATATTTCTGCTATGGGGCAAAGTTAGGAGTCATAAGTCTGGGATCCTAAATTTAGTCCCATCACTTAGTAAAAATTAGATAAATCACTTCTTAGAGGTTGTTTCCTCATCCATATACTAGCCACTAGAGAGATACATAAAATTAAGTTAATAATGGGAAGCAGGCTGATTTTTGCCTTAAATACCTTTTCGATATCATACCTTTGTGATATCTTTCAGGACTCTGGTGTTTGGTGTACTGGAATACTCCCAGTCGCAATGCTGTTTACTTCTGTTAGGGCTAATAATAATGCTTCTGAGGCATTTGTATACAGTTGGTGTTTATTTTTATTGATTTCAGAGAGGAAAGGAAGAGGGAGAGATAGAAACATCAATGATGAGAATCACTGATTGGCTGCCTCCTGCACGCCCCCTGGTGGGGATTGAGCCTAGGCATGTGCCCTTGACTGGAATCAAACCAAGGATCCTTCAGTCCTCAGGCTGATGCTCTATCAACTGAGCCAAACCAGCTAGGGCTTCAGTTGGTGTTTAAACGGAGCTATGAAGAACACTAGGCTGGGGAGGGTGAGAAAATGGAAAGGGAGTACTCAAACCATACAATCCATCAATAAAACATTAGGAACCCTGTTTGTTAAAAGTACAATATGTATTCTTTTATTTATTTATTTAATAAATTTTTTATTGATTTCAGAGAGAGCGTGAAAGAGATAGAAACATCAATGATGAATCACTGATCGGCTGCCTTTTGCAGGCCCCCTACTGGGGACTGAGTTTGCAACCTGGGCATGCGCCCTTGACCAAATGGAACCCGGGCCCTTCAGTACATAGGTCAATACTCTATCCACTGAGCCAAACTGGCTAGTGCAATCCGAGCTTTTAAAAAGCTTTTCTGTTGTGCCCTCCCCCACACCCCCTTGCCAAACTGTTGCCGTCACTTCCTCCACTGCTCTCATTAGGTGTCTTTTAACAGTAACTTTCTTCTCTAAGTTGCTACTTTCAATGTTTTGAGTAGGATAACTAAATAACAAAGTTTTTATTACTCAATAGTGTATTTATTGAGTACTTACTGTTTTGTGCTACACACAAGGGCTCCTTCTCAGGTGACTTAATTCTAAAAGTAGTATATATTATGGTCAAGTTTTGGGCAAAAGTAGCTGAATAAGGGTCTGAGGGATTCTCCCATGAATCAACTGTATTATTGCAGGCGAGCAGACTTTCTGGGTTGTTCTGACAACTCTAAGACCATTTCTGCTAACAAGCGAAGCTTCTTAAGAAGCCAACTTCGAGACAAATATGGTGGTATTGTGGCATCCCAATTTTATTGAGAACTATTTTTAAAAAAATATATTTTTATTTATTTTTCGCAGAGAAGGGAGAGGGATAGAGAGCTAGAAACATAGATGAGAGAGAATCATTGATCAGCTGCCTCCTGCACATCCCCCACCGGGGATGTGCCTGCAACCAACATACGTGCCCTTGACCAGAATCGAATCTGGGACCTTTCAGTCCGCAGACTGACGCTCTACCACTGGGCCAAACCGGTTTAGGCTTATTGAGAACTATTACTAGGCTTGGAAAGAATGCCTCACCCAGCCATCTGTGGATAATACCAAGGGCAAATTAAGGATCAGGTATCCTCAAGTATTAAATAACTGTAAAGAAAATATACAGGGGGCGGGGGGGGGCAGCACTGGAGAAATAAGAACACAATGTAATACCTTAATCAATAAATATATATTACACTGTAGTTGTGGTTTTCCCTGTGTACCCTGCGCCCCGCCCAAAGGCAGAAATAATGTATGATGCTTAAATTCGTTATCCCTTCACTTTCAACTTGAGAGAGATTATCTCCTTCTTTCTAGGAGGCTCAGACAAGACCGGTATCAGTTTTATGGACAAGAGCGATCTCTATCAGTTTTGGGGTTATTCGGGTAGCTGGCTTTTTAAAAACTGCTGAGCGCTACCCTAACGTCTACGTCTACGAATACAGTTTACGGTATTTATTTATTTATTTATTTATTTATTTATTTCACAAATCGAAGTAGAAATACAAGTGGACAGTTAATGGAAGGAATCAATACCAATTCGCAGACATTTTTTGACCGAGGACACCGCCACGAAGGGCCACGTGGGGATTGAGTTTGCAACCTGGGCATAAGCAAACCAGTTTGCAAACCAGCTGCAGAGCTCTTCATCGTGGGCAGTTCACCTCCGTGCCCCCGGAGGGCGGGGGTCGCTCCATGACAACCAGTGTGGGAGCGAAAAGTGACGGGGAGGGCAATGACAGCCTTCCGGGAAGCGAGGTAGGACCTCGGGGCGGCGCGCCGCTCCTCTCCGTACCTTGTGGGCCGCGGGCCCCGGGCCGCGGGCTGTCTGGGCCGCCGAGAAGTCGATGACCCCTCCCAGGTCTGCGGTCCCCGGGCGGCTCTGCCGGTAGAAGCGGAAAAGCTTCCGAAAGGCGTCCTCCGCAGGCTCCGTCGCTAGCGTAGCCACGGAACCCAAGGCGGCCGCCATCTTCCCCATCTCGCTGCCCGGCCTCCTCTGCCCCGGAAGCAGATCCACGTGCCCTGGGTGCGGCAGGTTCTTCCGGGGTCGCGACCTCAGACCTCCCAGGTCTCTCAAGCTAAAGATGGCGGCGTCCGCAGCGAGGGCTGCCCTGGCTCTGCGGGCCAATACCGGCCGGCCCGTTGCCTTTATCAGGAAAATCCCCTGGACCGCCTCTTCGAGTGAGTGATGAAGACGTGGCGGGGCGGGATGTTTAGGTCCAGGCGATCCGCAGGAGCTCTGCTTTCAGCGGAGCGCGCAAGTCAGCGTGGTGGCTCCATTAGGAGGCTGGGTTTGCGTCTGTGCTCACCAAGCAGCAGAAGGAAACGTTTGCAAGGAACCGCTTAGGAATGTCCCTTGAGCTTTTGGAGCGCGAGTTCACGATCTCCTCTCCTTCGGGTTGATTTGGTGAAAAGGCTATTAACTCGGAAACTTTTAAGACTTAACCATTTAGAAGGGATTCATTTGATTGCGGTGTGGGGGGATGAATTCCAAGTGGCGAGATTGGAGGTGAGGAGACGAACTAAAAGGCAACTTCAGTAATTTTGCTCTAATATGAGGAGCTGAACTAGGGTAGTAGTAGAAGGGAGGTCAGATCCATTTCTGCTAACAAAACAAAATACACAGCTTTTCGTGATATCTTTTATTGATTTTTTACAGAGGAAAGGAGAGGGATAAACATCGATCAGCTGCCTCTTGCACACCTCCCACTGGGGATGCGCCCACAGCCAAAGTACATGCCCTTGACCGGAATCGAACCTGGGACCTCTCAGTCCGCAGACCGATGCTCTATCCATGGAGCCAAACCTGTTAGGGCTCGTGATGTCTTGGTAGGCAGTAGCGCACCTAATGAGGGAAAAGGAGGAATGGCTTCCAAGTTTTAACGTTAGTAAGTTTCGTGGTTAGAATATAGGAGAAGCAGTTCAAAAAGAGATGTTTAAATGTGTTGGACAGAGGAGGTTGTGTATTGCTTCAATTTCATCTATAAAATGGAGTCAGGATCGTCCTCATACCATTGTAAAGGAGTTTATATGTAAACTGCTTAACCTTGTGCTAAATATAGAGGAAATACTCAATAAACGGTGGTTATTTTCATGATTACTAAAATTGAAGCTCATGGGAAAGGCATAGGCTGGAGATAGAGGTTGGGAGTAATCAATACTGAACTCTCTCACCAACATTGTTTTTGTTGGTGTCGGCTGCTGTTTTGAGATAAGGTTTTTACCTTTGCTTACCAAAATTTTGGTAAGCAGTTTTACAATTTACGTTTTTATGATTTGAAATTTTACATTTGCTTACAGTCATTTTTGTGGGTAATCCATGTGTCGAATCAGTTCCCTTAAACAATAGAACAGGGATAACTTCTCTTAATTTTTGTAGTCCAAGTATGATAGTAGGGTGGGAAGTAGATCAATTTGTGTCTCTCCTTCTGAGTATGCTGTGTGTAAAGACCAAACCCAGTAGGCCCTGTGAAACTGTAGAAAGGCTCAGGGGTTTCTTCAGTATCTTGCAAATTTGAGATTCCCCACTAATGGGGGACTTAAAACCTTCCAGGAGCCTGGCCAGCATGGTTCAGTGATTAAGCGTCAACCTATGAATGAGGAAGTCACAGTTGGATTCCCAGTCAGAGCACATTCCCCAGTTTCGGGCTCCATCCCCAGTGTAGGGTGCGCAGGAGACAGCCCATCAATGATTTACATCATTGTTGTTTTTTTCTCCTTTTCTGTCTGAAATCCTATTTAATAAAAGAGTAATATGCAATTTAACCATCACTCCGCTACACCCACCAGCCAATCAGGTATGCAAATTAACCCCAACCAAGATGGCTGCAGCCACTGAGCAAGCAGGAGGGAGGCTTGGGTTTCCCTGGCGATGAAGGAAGTCAGGCTTCTGCAGCCCAGTCCCTGTCTTGGTCTCCACTTAAGGCTATAAAGTTTCAATTATAGAAGATAAATAAATCCCAACAGAAATGGCTGCTGCCATGGAGTGAGCAGGAGACTTGGCTCCATTCTGGGCTACAAAGTTTCAATTGTAGAAGGTAAATAAATCCCAGATACAAGTAGCTCCTTAATATACATAAGTTTGGAGTTCTAGGACTCCTTTTGCTTTCTATCTATAATCTAGGGTGGAGGATGCATTTTGTATTAACTATTATTGTTTTCTCTTCCTATACAGGTGAGCTGAGAGAACACTTTGCACAATTTGGCCATATAAGAAAGTGCATACTACCTTTTGTGAGTTTTGTGGGTTTTTTTGTTTCTGTTTTTGAAGTATTAATGTTATCCTTTAATTCCGGTTTCTTGTTTTTGTCAAAGCATGTCAACTTATCTGTATGTATAATGGAGTGAAGCGGTTTAATCTTTGATGATAAATTTTGGGTGATACTAATTAAAAAGTTAAAAGAAATACCGCCCCCCCCCCCCCCCCCCCGCCCCCCATATCCTGGGCATTTGTGCTAGTTTTTTATTGTTGCAAAACAAATGACCACAAACTTAGTGGCTCAAAAGAACATATATTATCTCACGGTTTCTGTAAATCAGGATTCTGGGCACAGTCTAGCTGATTCCTCTGCTGAGTGGCTATATAACTGCAACCTGTCAGCTGGGGCTCTGGTCTCATCAGAGGCTCAACTGGGGAAGATGGAGTCCTACAGGTTTTGGCAGTTGTCGTCTTCCAATTGTGGGACTGAGCTTTTGCTTTCTTGTTGGCTTTCAGCTGGAGGCTGCTCTCAGATCCTAGGGTAGGGGTGTCGAACTCAATCAGAGAAGGGGCCAAAATCTAAAATCCAGCCTAAATCGCGGGCCGAATGGTTTACTGAACAGTCATAAACTGTCATTGTGATGGAAATGCAGCGGAGTGCAGTGATGACAGCGCAGTGCGGGCCACATTGCAAGGCCTGGCGGGCCACATTGCAAGGCCTGGCGGGACGGATTTGGCCCGAGGGCCTTGTGTTTGACACATGTGTCCTAGGGACTAGCTGCAGTTTTTTGGTTTCCTGGCTTCTTTGTGGGCTATTTCCCAGGATGGCAGCTTGCTTTTCAAAGTCAGCAAGGGAGTTTCTTCAGTGTAATATAGTCCCAGATTGACACTCCATCACCGTTGGCATATAATCTGATCAAGGGAGCAGCATCCCATCACTGTTGCCATGTATTCTTTTAGTTAGAATAGCAGCACAGGTCTGTATTGCATTCCTTCCCACCCCCCACACCACCACCACCAGAGGGGATTATACAGGGAGTAACAAGGGGATCATGGGGCCATCTTAGAATTCTGCCCGCTACAGTATTATGATAATGAGATAGTAGAGGATAGTTTATCATAAAACTAATTGGTGGAGTCCTAACTGGTTTGGCTCTGTGGATAGAGCATCGATCTGCGAACTGAAGGGTCCCAGGTTCGATTCCAGTCAAAGGGCATGTACCTTGGTTGCGAGTACATCCCCAGTAGGGTGTGTTGCAGGAGGCAGCTGATCCATGTTTCCAGTTCTCCATCCCTCTCCCTTCCTCTCTATAAAAAAATCAATAAAATATATTTTAAAAAACCACAAATCTAATTGGTGGAGAATATCTGTTTTAACTTTTATCCTCATTAAATTGGGTGCATTTTAAACTTTTCATACTTATTACATTCCCATTGCTTTCTCATGATGGTTTAGAAAACTATAATTTGTTTTACTTCATTCTGGGCTGTATTTTTCTGTTGAGCTTTCTAGAATTAATTGTTTTTAGCAGGTGATAATGGTAGTGGTAGTGATGAGGGTGATTAGTCTCAGAAATTACCAGAAATATACCAAGATTCTGAAGTTTAAATTTTGTTTCTAGAAGTGAGAAACAGGGAGAGTACTTCTTTTTGTGACCGGAATTTCCCTTGACTACTATTGTTACTGTAGTTTGTTTCTAGAATGGCACAGGAAGCTCATTTTTATATTTTACTTCTCCAATGGTAGCAAAAAAGCAGAGAATATTAAGATTAACATAGGAATTAAGCTTTGGGTAACTAGGAGAGTGAATATACATTAAAGGAAAGGGTTTTTGTTTTGTTTTGTTTGTTTTTTGTTGATTTCAGAGAGGGAGAGAAACATCAATGGTTAGAAAGAACCATCCATTGACTGCCTCCTGCACACGCCCTACTGGTGGTCTAGCCTGCAACCCAGGCATGTGTCCAGACCTGAAATCAAACCAGTGACCTCCTGGTTCCTGGATTGATGCTCAGCCACTGAGCCACAGGGGCTGGGCTAAAGCAAGGTTTTTGACATTCATTAAAATGTCTCTTATCCCATTTTGGAAAATAAAACATTGGTAGTTTGATTTGGAGCTTATAGAAACTTTCTCAAGTTCATGATTATTTTCTTAAATTTTGAATTTTTAGGACAGAGAGACTGGCTTTCACAAAGGTATGGGTTGGATTTACTTTTCTTCAGAAGAAGAACTTCAGACTGCACTACAAAATGACAGTCATGTTATTGATGGAGTAAAAGTAAGTGTCTTTCTACATATCATGTACTTACTGTATATCAATTAAATAGGTCAGAAGTGTGAAATGACAGGGAGTTGGGGCAATCTTTTAAAGAATGGCGGTGGTGGTAGAGTGCCCAGTTCTAAAAGGTCTGGGGAGGGAAGTAAAGGAAGACCGACCTGGTAATGGGTAGCAAGCATATGTAACACCGAGCAGTGGAAACAGCAGCCCAATTATCAGGGGATGAAATCCTGGCTTTTCCACTTACGTGGCCTTGGGTCAGACTGATTTACTATTTTTTTCTAAATGTTTTTATAGATTGCATAGAGAGGAAGGAAGAGGGAGAGAGAGATAGAAACATCAATTGCGCTCTGTAAAGAATCAATAAATTTAAAAAAAGAAAAAAGAAAAAAAAAGAAACATCAATTGGCTGCTTCCTGCATGCCCTCTACTGGGAACTGAGCCCGCAATCTGGGCATGTGCCGACTGGGAATTGAACTGATTGACCTCCTGATGTATCAGTCCACCAACTGAACCCGGGCTGATTTATAATTTTTAATTGAAATTCAGTGAGTTTTACAAAAAACATCCTTTTGACTTATTGGTGCTGACTTCCTAATAAAAAGCCAGTCTTAAGGGGTTAATTTTCAGTTTTAATGTTTTTGCAGACATTGGCTTTATCTTTACAGTGCTTACTTGATTTTTTTCAGCTCCACGTTCAAGCTCAGAGACCAAAAGTTTTACAAGATCTAACATCTGATGAAGAGTAAGATTTTTATTACTACTACTACCTACTAAATAAAGGAACAAAACTGAAAATTTTGTGTAAATGTTTTTATTTGAAACAAATAGGTGCACCAAGCAAGCGCTTACTTTTCCCCCTTCCAAATTAAAACAGAGCACAATAGGGGCATACGTCATTTGGCTGGACAGTTCCAATAGGTGAACATCCTACTCACTGTGGTTGGGTTAACTTTACTTATAACTAGCCATTCCTTCACAAAATATTAACCCCAAAGTACTAATGTCACATAAAAGGAAGTGATCTTAATTTCATTTATGGGGCAGTATGTTCTATAAATGCCAAAAGGTGGGAGAAGCACAAACACAACCCACTCTTTAAAAAAACTAAATAGTTCAAAGTAGAATTTTCCATCCCCCCCACTTTCTGCTATAATAAAAAGTAGTGCTGGGATCTGACACCCAGATTTGGTTTTTATCTGGCCCATTTACAAAATGTTTACCCATATGACTTGCATCATTAGGGTTATGGGTAATAGTCCATTCACTGTGAAGAGGTGTATCTATTCCTTCCTCCTCTTCTTGCCTTCATGCTCATGTTCCTTGGGGCGGCTGCTATCTGAGGGTCTTTTAGAGCCACCGTGCTGTTTGGCTTCTTCCAAAAACTTGTCCAAACCAAAAGGATCTTCTTCAAACTGAACTGGTCCTTCTCGACCTCTTTGCTTACGGTCTGAACCAGAAAACTCCTTATCGGGAACAAATCTAGGGAAAAAGAGAAAGAACCAAATTATAAACTACCTCGCTTACACTCACGCAAACATTGAAACTGAACTGTTTGCTTGGTACCTGTTGGTCTTTATTCTGGCTTCTAGATCATCACCATACATGTCCTTATCCAGATTTTTACTGGGCCTGTAAATATTCTGGGCCATATCTTTACCACCTCTCCAGGCTTGATCATAAACATTGTAAATTTCATCTTCTCCACCTGCAAAACCACTGTCCATACCCTGTAGAGAACATTACAAGTATATGTTATAATTTATTAAAAGTTGAATCTGACTACATTCATTTATAACTCACATTTTCAACAACCTTCATTAAAAGTCCATAAACTTGTTCGTATCACCTTCAAATTCTCAGATTAAATTAGGTACTCATTAACAAGTTTGACTAGCAAAGTAGTCATTAAAACTGGGGGACACTAGTTAAGCAGTTATTTAGAAATTCATGCAAGGGGTTAGGCCCTTAGCCCATTTCATCCCAGAAGGCCGTTTCCCTGTTTGGTCATCCAGACTAATTAGCATATTATGCTTTTTTTTATTATAGATGGCAAGAAGATGGAAGTACCATAAAACATCTGATGCCATTCACAGTAATAATATTCCCCCCTTAACTGCCTGAGAACATCACTATTATAGCATGAGATAATAGGGTTCTCAATGAAAATCAACAAACTTGTTCCATATATTTAGAAAAATTTAAGTGATTTAAGCCTAAAGTTGTAAAAGGTGACTGTCAAATATTTACTTATGTGGAGCTTTCGTGCCTAACCCCTTTTACTCAGACTGGTAAGATGCCATTGCATAGTAATTAAGAACACAAGCTTTGACATCAAGACAGCCCATCAATGAAATCTGAGTTCATTAGTTACTAGCTAAATCTCTATGTGTCAGAATTTCCTCGTCTTCAAATAGAGGTGGTAATAGTGTGACTTCATAGGGTTCTGTAAGGATTGAGTAAGATAATACAAGTAACCCTAACCAGTTTGGCTCATTGGACTGAAGGGTCCCAAGTTCAATTCTGGTCAAGGGCATGTACCCTTGTTGCAGGCACATGCCCAGTAGGAGGTATGCAGGAGGCAGCTGATCAATGTTTCTCTCTTATTGATGTTTCTAACTCTCTATACCTCCCCCTTCCTTTCTGTAAAAAGTCAATAAAATATATATTTTTAAAAAAAGATAATACAAGCAAAAGGCTTAGAACAATGCTGGGAATATAAGAAGCACCCAGTAACTTACTAACTTAAAGAACTTACTCAAATGCTATCTTCAGATCTTAAAAACTCCCCAGTCATAATTAAACTCCCCTGTACATCCCAGTAGAACTTTATACTTCCATATTCTTACCAGTCTGCCTTGTCTTTATTTATATAGATTAATCTTATCTTTTCCAGTAGTCTTTGAGGGCAAAGGCATATCTAGCCCCCCCCCCCCCCCCCCCCCGCGCCCTCATATTTTGAGGGCAGGTAGCTACCGTGTTTTAAATTTTTTTTAAATTTAATCCTCACTTGAGGATATGTTTTTATTGATTTTTATAGAGAAGAAGGGATACAGGTAGGGAGGGGAGAGAAACCAATGAGAGAGAAACATTGATATGGGCCTGATGGAGGATCAAACCTGTAAATTCTTGGTGAACGGGACAATGCTCCAACCAACTGAGCCATCTGACTAGGGCCAGAGCCAAGTTTTATAACCTAATTTTTTTTATTTTCTACTATTGTCTCAAATAATAGCTAATTGTAAGAGGTAAAAATCAGAGCTGTTTCATGTTACTTCTTTCTTACGTTACAATATACAACTTAGAATTTTTTTCTATTGTAAAAAACCTGCCTTAGGTTGATCCAAATGTTCATTTTCTTTTCCCAGAGATTTGGTATTCATATCAACATTTAAGATAACTCTATGTTTTTTGTGCGTGTTAACTCTTACTCGATATTTTTTCCATTGATTTTTAGAGAGTGGAAAGAAGTGAGGAAGAGGGCAAGGGGGGAGAGGGTAAGAGAGAGAGAAAGAGAAACATTGATGCAAGAAAGAAAGACACATCATTTTCTTGCTTCCTGCACATGCCTCAACCAGGGTCAGAGATTGAACCTGCAATCCAGATACATGCCCTTGGCTAGGAATTGAACCTTTGGCCCTTTGGTGTGCAGGCAACACTCTAACCATCGAGCAACACCAGCCAGAGCATGATAAAGCTATTTCTATTGTACCTTGGATTGGTTGAACAGCCTTTGGTCATACTGAACTTCATTGGAAGTCCGAGGATTGGGCACACCAAGAGCAATGACCTCACTGATATCTCGATTTTCATTTCTCTGCAGTTTCGACCTGTTTTGAAATACAATGTTACTAACTAAAAACTCTTCACAGACAAGCTGAATTTCAATTTTAAAAATACAAGCAATCTCAAAAGCTAAGGAAATGTACATGTCCTGTTAATATCTCGAACATATATTCCCTGATAATGCATAATTCCCTTATAATGCTGGCAGCCCTTATAGCATTTCAGCTAGATGATTACTGGAAGAAGTAGGGTTTTATAATTAGACCCTCCTGTTAGCTGGAAGGAATAGCTAAGAGATTCATTCTTGACACGGAAGTCTTTAATATAAACAAGCACCTTACAATACATGCTGAGATATGAAACTGCTATAAACTATATTTGCTATTAAAAGAGGATGGGTAGGACTAGATACAAATTAAATGTATCACAGGAATCATTTTCAATAAGCTGGAATCAGGTTTTTTTACATAACCACATTTAGTAATTTTATCCTATTAGAATTTTGAGGAAAACACATCGATGACTGGATTACTCATTATGATTTTCGACATTCACATTAATTCCCCTGCTGTTTCAGTGTGTAATGCAATCTACATTGCAATGAAACCATGGTAACTGTCGTCATTTATTTTGCTAGAAGCTCAGGTCTTAAAAATGACTTCTATAGACAATCTGATTTCACTAAATCACAAGTTTACAGCTTTCCTATGCTATCAATTCTCAGCCACTTAAATGGTCCAATTTATGTACAGAGCTATTTTGATTTCTGTACCTTAGAAATTTCAGACCAAAAGCACATTAACTACACACTTTCCTACTTCATTCCTCTTTCTTCTTCACTATACATTTAACCAGAACTCTAAATTCAGATTTTCTGCTTCTCCATGACTTCACATATCCTAAGAGATGAAATATGCCATTAAACAAATTCCACCACCAGCAGGAATCTTCTTTTTCATGTTTAAGATACGAATGGAAAAAAGTGAACTGTAACAGTTCATAGGATAATGACAGCCTTAAAAACTGCACATGTGGAAATAAGATGTTTTATATTTGCATTTAACTCTCATTCAGAAATTTATCTCCATATGACAGCATTTCTTCAACTTTTCAGCACTTTCAGTTCTAAGCCTTTGGTGAACCACAAACTTCACCAATCCCTACTTTATTTCAAATTTGTTCTATAAAAGTCTGTACCTATTAAGAGTGCTTTGTCTATATGTCAACTGTATTTTAATTTTAAACAAATTGTCAATTTCCCCAATTCATTTTATTAAAATTTTTTTATCCATAATTTTATATAATAGCTCTGCCTTTCTGAATTTTAAGTGAAACTGCTCACGAGAAGCGACCGATTTTCACTTCTTACAAAACCTGCTTTTCTCCCCCACTGTACTTCATAGAGTGCTCTGCATGTAAAAGGGCCTCAATAAAGGTATTGCAGTTTATTTCCTGTCTAAAGGATCAGGAACGTAATAAATTTGTCTCACCATTTGAAATTGGAAAAGAATAGACCAGAACAGTCCTATCCATTACCTTCTTTTCACAAACATGATCTGCATTTCCTTTTCTATATTCCCATCATTCTCAATTCTAGCTGACTCTACAAGGCGATGGAAGAAAAGATTTCTTCCACGGATAGTCAATTCTGCTAAGACAAGGTAAGTAGTTAAGTGCAAGAAAATAAGCGCTGATTTATTAAGTCATCAAACTAAGAGAAGCAAAATTGGTATTAGTGGACTAAACCACCTCTCTAAAAGGTTCACAAAGGCTAATCTTCATAAATCATATTTATCTCAAATAGCACCTACCTCTTATCAGGCGCTGCCCTGGAAAGATTCCGGTCATGCTGTCTCTCTTTCCGCCTGTCATGCCGAATTTCATCCCTCTCACGTGCCTCCCCATCCTCTGTGTGGACAGAATTGAAAATTACTTCATCACTATATTACCCATTAATATTTTAAACAAGATAATATAATCTTTAACCTTATACAATTCCATGAACTTCACTGAAGTCACATTCAGCCCTTTCAACTTTACTTCCAATGAATTTAAATCCAATAGTATTGGTTTAATTTTGGGAATGTGAATTCCAGAATCATGCATGTACAATAGCTTAAGTATTTAGGGCTAAGTGTACTGATGCTTTTGACTTATTTTAAAATGCATCCAAGTATTAAAGTGGACTGAAAGATAGAGATGGGTAGATATATGAGAAAGCAAATTTAGCTATGTTAAGAAATTTTAATACAGAATCTAGGTGGTAGAGATAAGAGAGTTTGTTTTACAATTCTTTCCATGGTAACCCAGCACTGACTGCAGGACTTGACTTCAGGTGTTCAGTCGAGCCTATGATCGATAGTTAACGGACCCTGGGTTTTTATATGTTAGGATACTAATTTTGTATGCAGTAAAGATCAATAGAGATTTTCTAGAATGAGATCTCTATTTCTTACAAAGTAAATTGAAGTTGGTAATGAGAATGTCATACCTTTTTCCACATGGGTTTTGATCCCAGCTCTTCTCTCTCTAGCTTTCTGGGCCATTTCTCTCAGTTTCTCTTCATGTTTCTCTTTTTCTTTTTGAGCCATCTTTCTCTCT